TATCTTCGGAATAAATTATAAATCAAAATAAAAAATTCGAGATTAAATTATAGTAAATCAAACAAATGTTAGAAATTTTAATTTATTATGTAGCCAAAGAAAATTTCACCTCTGCCCCTCCCAAGATTCTTAAATTCATTTCAAAGCCCCCTCTTTTTTTTTCACTTGGCTTCAGCTCTTCCTTTTTTTCCCGCCATTACCGGAGCAAATTTCGATGCAACCCACTGCTCCGGGGCGAGTCTCCAAAAGATCCCTCTCTCAGCTCCTGAGCAACCGCCCCCCAATATCTCGAATCAAGCAAATCCACGCCCGAGTAATCACCGAGCCGCTCGATTCGCCGCGTGTTTCCTTGATCGACTCGCTCATCCACTGTTACCTTCACGCCGGCGACCTCAGCTCCGGCCGAGCCCTGTTCGACGGCTACCCCTCGCCGCCGCCGTCGGCTCTATTATGGAACCTCCTTATTCGCGCTTACTCGAAAATCCCACGATCTTCGGAGCCCATCACTCTTTTCCGCAAAATGCTCGGTACTCGAACGGCGCCGGATAAATACACCTTTAATTTCGTAATCACTTCGTGTGCTCACCAGGAGGAAGTCGTGCACGGGCGAATTTTTCATGGGTTTGTTGTAAAAAACGGATCTTTGTTGAATATGTACGTGGCTAATTCCTTGATCAACTTGTACTCTGTTTTTGCGAGGTCGAACGATGCAAGAAAGGTGTTTGATGACATGCCCGAGAGGGATGTGTTTGCTTGGACGAGTTTAGTGTCGGCTTATGCGAAGAATGGGGATATGAAGAGGGCCGGAGAAGTTTTTCGGGAGATGCCTGTGAGAAATGACGTCTCTTGGGCCGTGATGGTTTCGGGCTTTGCCAGCAGCGGGTGTTACGCTGAGGCCATTAAATATTTCCGAGATATGTTGCGTGGAGTGAGGCCTAATGAGGCAGCTCTCGTTTGTGCCCTTTCTGCGTGTGCGAATCTCGGGTCTTTGGATCAAGGAAGCTGGATTCATGATTATATAGATAAGAATCGTATTTCAAGAACTTCTAATATTATGACTGCACTCATTGATATGTACGCCAAGTGTGGGAAAATAGATCGTGCCTTTGAAGTTTTCGACAAGATTCCTAAGCGTGATGCTCAGAATTTTACTAGTATGATATCAGGGTTATCAATACATGGGCTGGGTGAAAAAGCCATTCGCATCTTTCAGCGAATGTTAACCGAAAAGTTGAAACCTAATGAGATAACTATTTTGGGGGTTCTAAATGGATGTAGCCATTCGGGCCTTCTGCAGCAAGGTTCTTCAATTTTCTATAACATGGAGAGTTTATGGGGAATCGTGCCTAAAATTGGGCATTATGGTTGTTACATTGATTTGCTTGGTCGTGCTGGACATTTGGCAAAGGCATTTGGGATAGTCAAAAGCATGCCCGTAAAACCTGATATAGCCGTATGGAGGTCTTTACTTAGTTCATGCAGAATACATCGTGATAGTAATTTTGGTGAGCGTGTGATAGGTCATTTAGATTATCTCGAACCTCGAAATTGTAGTGGAGCCAATGTGTTACTCTCTAACATGTATGCCTCTTTAGGGAAATGGGAAAAAGTTGTTCAAGTGAGGGATACAATGGGTAAGTTGCAAAAGAACCAATCTGATATTGGCGTTAGTTGGCTCGAGTTTAATGGAGTTGTTCATGAGTTTCGAGTTGCGGATAAGTTACATCCGCAAATAGAGGAAATTCGTAAGAAATTAAGTGAAATAATGCAGAGAGTGAGGTCAGTTGGCTATGCCGCTGATGTCACTCAGGTGTCGTTTGATTTGAATGATGAAGATAGAGAGAATGCGGTGACTTGGCATAGTGAAAAGCTAGCGGTTACATTCGCTCTCATGAATACTCGGCCTATGGATTCTATTCGAATAGTGAAGAATCTGAGGACTTGTGAGGACTGTCATGTGGCTCTAAAGGCCATTTCAAGAGTTTATGATCGAGAAATTATAGTTAGAGATCGATCTCGTTTTCATACTTTCCGAGAAGGGAAGTGTTCATGCAGGGACTATTGGTAGTTGGTAGTTACCAAGTAGGGCCAAAGAAGATTTCTGTAAAGAAAGTCTGTAGTGAGAAAAAGTGTTTTAGCAACAGAAAAGTCTGTTCCTAGTTCAAAATTGCAAGTGCTCGGGTAAAGTGTTACAAACGCCCCTTGAGATTTATATTTAGTGAACAAATGCCATGTCCAAATAGTGCAATTAATCCATTTTCAGATGTTCATAGTGTAGGGATAAACATTTTCATGGGCAATTAAGCTGCTATCAGCTCTATCTCTGTTTTTTCTTCCTTTTTTCTTGGTAATTTTTACCTTCTCGGTTTTCATTGAGGTATTTACTCTTTTTCACATCATGCATTCAATTACATTTACGGCTACTCTACTTCGTTTCTTTCTTCAGATATACAAATTATTCACCTTTCGACTATTTCACAATGTGCTTTGTTACAAGATGTAAGGATCACTTTTACTCGAGTTCACTTGAATTTGTGGTGATCAATCTATTCATGATCTTGTTGTCTGTTTAACTTCTCATGAAGCTCGTGAGGGGGTACTTGTTACCGTGCAATTATTGACCTTTTTTTTTTTACTGTCATCTTAAGTTTCTTGTGCAGCATATTTGGCTTTGGCAGATCTATGTAACAGCTCGAATACAAAGATTTGTTTTCCTAGGCACTATGCGTCGCCCGGCCGCATCCAGTTTGCATGAATCGATCGAAAAAATCGGTCAGGCGTAGGAGTTCCTATGCAGGCTCGGCAACAATTTTTGAGATTTTTTTTTAATATTAATTACATTATTTTTTTATCATGTTTTCTTTATAACATATTAATATTATTATTTGGACTTAGGTGTGTAGATTTATTATAAGTTAGTTAAAAAAAAAATGTATTTAGTCTTAATTTTTAGGCTTGCCTAGGCGTTCTAGACCCTAGGCGCTGGTCGAGCGTCTACCGACTTCTAATACACTGCATACAACTAAAGACGTACGTGATCTTCAGTTCAAAGTTCATATACTGCAATCTCGCCTCTCAATCAACTGTGGACACTAGCTTAATGCGTCCATCAACTAACATGATAGAAGATTGGTGATGTAGGGAAAGCGTACATGTAAAACGACGTTAATGAAGTCGCAATTTCAAGAACACTTAAACACCATATTAATTCATCTTTTATTCATAATCAACGGACTCATAACAAAGAAGAAAGAGACTCTAAATAAGACTCTAAAGTCCAAGGTCTAACTTAATATATTGACTATTGATAGGTGAATTACATTATCGACTAATTGTGTGTGAGTTCAGAAGTTGACTCTTTCACGTTTTAGGTCACTAAATTATATTGCAACTGCAAGTCCCTAAAGTATGACAATTTTCACATCGGTATAACCAATATGCAGTATAAGTATGTTTTCAATATGCTGAATGTAGTTGCTAACAATACTATCTTTACAAACAACATCAAAAGGCAGAGTTAAATTTATCACAAATCAAACACTGAAAGAAAAGCAAGTTAAAACATGTAGGGAACTAATCGGCTATATATCATTCCGGTTGGTGAATTGGAGAGCATATTTTGTCGGCAAAACAAACAAAAGACTTCGAGCTCGATACATTTCATTCCAAGCACTTTCTTCTACAGAACATGTTCCTGCAAATTCGCAACGTATATATGGACGTAACTTTTGCTAAATTATTTTGATTTCTTTGCGTGCGAGAAGAATAGTAAACTGAATATATGTAGCTCTATGTAGAAAATAAGCTCTTGAAGAGAGTATAAAAGTGTGGATTTTACGAACCCGAAACACCCGCTCCGCGGCTTTTTCTTCTCCCGTTGGCTTTGTGGGGGCTTGATCACTACCCTGATAGCAGCATCAAAAACTGCTTTTACATTCTGCATATAAAAAATCAGTATGTTTCGAGTAAATGCAAAACATTTTGCGAATCAAAGATAAGATTGCAACGAAAATGAATATTTTTACAGATCAAATATGATCTTTATAACCTTATTGAAAAGGGGAAAAAGGAAAGAAAGAACGAAAGGAATAAAGAAGTTGAACCGAAAACAGTATCAAATATCATACTAGTTCAGGTTCCGTTCTTCTTTGAAAAATGATTTTTCCAATTACAGTTTGTGGATTGACGGTTACTAAGTAAACTCGTGTTACTACAGAAAAAGGCTAAAGGATCAACATGTAAGCCTTTACTATAAATTGACATAAGAAAAGTTTGATGCTCAACTTCAGTTCAGCTAAGCCATTGAATCAAACGATATTATACGTGCGAAAGAAAAGTTCACGAAGCATTGTCTCGTGAATTGAAGTTCTGAACCAAGTTCAAACAGCACGTTCAGCTAAACTTAAAGAAAACAATGACCATATAGAGAAATCTCCAATCTCTATCAAGAAAAAAAGACTTAAATTTATACCCTTTGTCATGTCAAACACAAAATTACGACGAGCTTCTCCAAAAACAGATGGAGATAACATATTTGCCACTATAGTCATATTTATTAGACCGATGATTCATCAGTATCAGCTGAAAATATCAATGACTGGACTCCATAAAAAGGATAAATTGGGAAAAAAAAAATGTGGCGGTGATCATAATATAAAATGATGAAAACCTGTTGAGTTTTGGAGCTGCATTCAATGTAGCATGAGGCGCCGATTTGTTTGCAGAGTTCCTCTCCCTGAATATAGATAAACCCCCATATTATTAAGGGGTACTTAACAGAATCAGAAAGTAAGCGATTATACGAATAATACGCACCTGGATTGTGGAAACAGGAACTAATCCAGGATGATCAGCCAAATAGTGCTTATCCTCACGAAGATCTATTTATTGTACCAAAAACAGTCCCTATGTTAGTAAATGAAGAGTATTACAACGGTAAGGCCCCATATGTATCGTAACTAGTAAGTAAAGCTGTTGTACATGCACACGTATCTATAGATATAACACGAATATCACAACATTTGCAAGATAAGGTGAGATTCCATGAGCACTAATTAGAAATTACAACAAAAATGGTTCCTTGTTTTTTCTTTTTTTGTTTGCGAAATATATTAATTCAAATTATAACAAATCTTAAATAGAGAAAATGAATTAATGTCAGCTCGCGAGATCAAAAAACACACAAACACACGAACAAAAGAAGAAGGCCAAACAGACGACCCCAAAACTTTTCCACAACGGATCAATGGGAGTACTAAACCACTTCAAGATCAGACAAAAACTTTAATGTTTCACTTCAAACAAAAAGGCAACCAACCAATTCAAGGCCACATATGAAATCTGTTTACATTTAGTTACCCGTAATTCGAGCGACATTAAATATACTTATATCAAAGAAGTTGCTACTCGTGCAATGAGAAAATGATTAGTACTATTATTTTCAGTTGATCGTTCACCAGTCATTGATCATGCTGAATAAATGCAACGAGGCCCCCACGTATTTGATTTCAAAGACACGTGTAATTCATGCAATCGGTCGTATACGACTCGGTTCACTAAAACAGAACACAATAGTTTGATCCGACAACTTTTAAGAATATACCTAGTTTGGTGCCAACGAGTACCAAAGGAATTCCAGGAGCAAAGTGCTGAAGTTCATGGATCCACTGCCAATAAATACCATCGAAAGATTAAAACTTGCTCCATACCATTCAGTAAGAAACCGTAACTAGAAACGCAAAAACATATACATCTGAGAACAACTACAAAGTATATAGTTTCACCTTTTTAAGTATGTTCTCATAGCTAGCTCGACTAACTAACGAAAACGCCAAAACAAATACATCAGCTCCTCGGTAGCTCAAGGGCCTTAGCCTGTTGTAATCTTCTTGACCTATTTACATTTCACATATCAGATAACCATTTTCTTAATTCTACAACCCCAAAAATAATATTTTAATCAATTATCCATGACTGAGAGAAATAAAAGTCCATGAATTTTCCTCAGGATTTCCATTAAAAAGGTATTCAAAAAAAAAAAAAAAGCAGAGGCATACCTGCTGTGTCCCAAAGGCCTAAGTTGACTGTTGTTCCTTCAACCACCACATTTGCACTGAAGTTGTCAAACACAGTTGGTATATAGTCCTAACAAAAAGAATAACAATATAAAATTGGCACAAATTTGAATGAGCAAACAACCCAGATCAAAAAAAAAAATAAATAAATAAAAAATCAAGATAGATACCAAGTGCAAAAACCCTGAAGCAAAATGAAATAAAGATTCCATCTTTTGGGAGATGCTACGGTCCCATTATGGAACCGTTCTATCGGGGTTTGTAACCGTTAGATCAACTATTCCCGACGGTTACATGATGATTTAATGGTTACAAACCTCAATCGAATGGTTCCGTAACGAGACCTAGTATTTTCCCCATCTTTTTTTCAGCCAAATTGTTAGAAGAAAAAAGGTAAAGACAGCTAAAGAGAAACAGTGAAAAAGCTGCACATGATTAAACAGCATTTTCTCGTTCCAACAAATATCTGCACACACACACACACACACAGAGATAGGCACGGACAAAAGCACACGTTTTCTCATAAGAAAAGATGAAGAATTTACTGAATTTGCCCTTCAAGAACACACACAAACACACACACTGTGAGGTGAAAATACTGACAGTGGGGAACTTGTTGCTGGTATAGCAGATAAGCATACAGGTCTTGCCAACCGCGCCATCGCCCACAGTCACGCACTTCATGAACCTCGATACGCTTGAAGCCATTGTTGTTTTAGCATCAAACACACGGACTGAGGCGCTATTCAAGAAAAACAAAAACAAAAAAAAAATCCAGTCTTTAGTCAAAACCCAAAAGTGAGATTGACAGAATATGAAATCAAACGCTCGAAAAATGGAACCTTCTTTGTTTTGGGCCACTCCTATATAGTTGGATGCTTGGATTGGCTGGCAAAGGCGAGATTTTTTTTTTTTTTTTTTTTTTT